AGGGCAAGACGCTTACCTCAGAATGGGCTGTCACACTGTTGAGGTTGCAGAGCCATTGGAGTTGGTTGGCAGCCAGCTCCTGATATCAGCATCCATTTTCTTGGGGTAACCTTCAGTATCTCCTTGCAGCATTTCCTCTGGCCACCATGAGATCTCAGACCATTACTAAGCACTTTATTTAAAAGTCAGAAGTCAGGTTACTTCACACACTGTCCAGTTCAGTGAAGTTGGTGACTGAGGTTCACTAATTCAATTCTGGTAGCATTGGCTTCAGCAAGGATACTGACATTTTTGTGGCAATCTTCCCATTTGATGTGGAGGATTTTTCAGAGGCATCATAAGAGAGACCTCCCCAGGCTCTTGAAATAACTATGGTAGGTCACCCACATTTCACATCCGTAGAAGAGGGAGAGGATGATGATGATTGCATTGTAAACCTGGATCTTGGTGTCTTTCTGGAGATTGCGATAACCAAATACCTGCAGAAGCAACTTCCCAAAGCAGGCACTTGTGCAGCAGATCCTGTACTGGATCTCCTCCTCAATGATTACTCTCTGAGAGAAGTGGTTACTCCAAGGTAGGGAAAATACTGGACTACCTCCAGGGCTTTTCCCTTGATGGTAATTTAGGGAGGTAGTCACATTCATGGCCTGGAGCAAACTGATAGAGCACTTTAGTCTTCTCAGTATTGAGAGAGAAGCTCAAAGCTTGATAGGCTTCTCCAAAAAGATCCAGCATGGTGAAATACTCTATTCTAAGCTTCAAACCTGGCATATGCTATTACAGATGTGAAAGGTATTACTGCCCTATCTTATCTACCCTGTCTTATCTACTTTTTTGTTAATTATATGAGTGATAGAACAGACAGCAAACTCATGAAAATGGAAGATGAACTGGATGAAACTGTGGACAACAAGACAGACAGAACAGGTAATAGAAATGAACCTAGAGGTTTGTTTCTGCAAAAGGTAAACTCTTACCACCTGGTCAGCTGAAGTAAATAGATCCTAAATAGGCAATCAGTGGGAGGGAGACATGAATGAAAATTAAGAGACTGAAAAATGTAGTAATGCATGATGAGTTATGGTAAAAAAAATAAATAAGTGCTCTTGAAAATAAGATCTGTATGCTGTTAGAAACTCTTAATAGATATGATGGAAACCCCAGAGTATTTCTCGACTGGATTTAGTGAAGTACCAATCCTACAACAGGAAAACGCTGTGTTAGAAAGCTTATCTACAGGAAGTGGTGAGGGTTCTCAAAGAACTTCACTTTGCTCTGATTGTGCTCTCACTGAAGCAAAGGGGAATTTTCACCACTTATTTTCACTGGGAGAAAACAGGCCATTTTAAAAATCCCACCCTATAATCCTAGACTTTTTCCACTTTGTGGGCCAAATTCTGTGCCAGCTGTCTCCTCTGTGATTATTTGGATAGATTCTCGAGGCTGGTTAAGGGCTCAGTCTTTGCTCTGCAAGTGCAGAGCTGTTCTGCAGGGCTCACTCCACCCTTTTTGGGTACTGCTTAGATCTGAAGTCAGGTCCCTACCAAGGCTCTCAAGGCCAGGAAGGGAAAGCTTGTGTGTGCTGATAGGAGTGGGCTATCAGTAGCAGGAGCAAGGAACCATGGTTTAGAGGAGCCCAGAGGAAGGAGAGGCAGAGTGGAGGACTGCTGCTCCTGCTGGGGCCCCTAGCTGACTGGGGTGTGAGTGGTAAGGGAGGCCTGGGCATACAGGTACGTAAGCAGATGCAGACTGCAAGCTGCCTTATGGGCATCCTACCACACCCAGCAAAAGGTAGAGGGAGAGTCATGCCCAGCAGTGTCACAGAAGCCAATGAGGACCAGGAGGACACTGAGCCTCCTGCAGGACCCCACCTGTCCTAGGCCCAGTGTCAGGTTCAGCTCCAGCAAGCTCAGAACTGCAGCCACCCTAGCCAGCTCTCTCTGCTACCTCAGCCCCTGAGCCTGGCTCTGGGCATAATCTGTGCCCAATTAAAACCTGCAAGAGGAGGATTTGGCTGCTTTCTACTGGAGAAGCCAGGGCAGGGTCATGGAGTGATCCCATCATTGCCCTGCCCTCTGCCACTTATGAACGCAGTGGGGCTGGCAGGTACCTACCCTGTCTGTCCACTCCTAGACCTACCTTGGCCCTGGGTCATGCCAGCTTGTAACATCCAGGAGTGGTCAGACACTCCCTGCTGTGGAGCAGGGCAGCTCTGGTTCTGAGCTGGCAGGGTAGGGGGGCAGGTACACACTGTGCATGTGAGGTGTCAGGTGTCACTGTGCCCGCAGTGTTATACCCATGTTGTCTGCATCTCACATATATCTGTCTTGTCTGTATCTAAGTAACCCAGATATAATGCAGAGCCATGTAGAGCCTATAGCTCATTCAGTTCTAGAAAATATATATCCACATCATCTACATCTAGTGCATACCTACAGTCTGGATCTCAACTAGATCCATATAATCACTCTCTAAAATACATTTCATAGTTTATATCTACGTACCGTAGTCTAATTTATATACATATGGCATATGTATATAATGCCATATGTATATATGGCATTATATATGTATATATATATTAGTCCATATCTAACATGTTTATCTAGTCCAATGGTTTTCAACTTTTTTTTTCATTTGCCAACCCCTAAAAACTTTGGAATGAAGGTGTGGATCCCTTTGAAAATGTCAAATGGAGGTGCAGACCCTTCTGAATTGTAAGTGTGGGTATTCACATATATTGCACTGATCATAGTCACCTTTTGCGGACTCCTTAGACATAATCCGCAAATCCCCCAGGGGGCTGGGGGGGTATATGGACTACAGGTTAAAAATCACTGATCTAATCTCTAATGTATAACCACAGTCTGTGTCTACTGTATCTCCACATTGTCTTCATCTAAAATAGCTCTACACAGCTCAGTTGATGTCCATGTAGCAAATACCCAGAGAGGCTATATATATTTATATGGTTTGTGTCAAATGTAGACCCACATGGTCTTGAACTAAATTCTCTCTCATAGTTTGTTTTTAATATATACACACACACACACATATATATACACACACACACATATACATACATACACACACATACACAGACACACACAGCATAATTCATACCTAGATAGCAAATATCCACAGTTCTGTCTATCTATCCATCCATCCATATCTATAATGGAGATTTCCTTTATATGCATCTAGACTTTTCCTCACATAGTCTATATCTAATTGATGCTGGTACAACCTTCACCTATCTAGTCTCCTCCAATGTGTACCCCTACACTCTCAGTCCACGGAGTTGCAGTCTGATCTGCAGACACGAGGAGGGAATCAGGATTTGCTCAGGGATGAAAACTTGCCCTCCCAAAAGCCCACATCAGCTGAGCAAGTGCTACACAAGGGTCCCCGTGGGGTGGGAGTCTGCTTCAAGGCCCGGGATCCACAGGGGAGAGAGAGAGTGTGAGGGTCAAGCCCCAGGAGAGGCAGCAGGGGCCGAGAGCGAGAGGAGAGTGGGGCAGAGACCCCCTCCCAGCACACGGGCAGGAGGGCTGGGGGGCAAGCCGCTCCGGGGCTCGGCGTGGGGAGCGCACACAAAACTTTCTCCCTGCCCGGGTGTAGTCCGAGATCCCCACACGCGGCGCCCCCGGCCGGGCCGGGCCCCAGGGCCACGTGCTTCTCACGCCCCGCTGCCGGGCTGCAGCGGCCGGGGGTCAGTGGAAGGAATAAGGACCCAGTGGATACACAGAAGGATCAGTGGGAATACTGGGGGGCAAAGGGGGTGAAGAGCCCCGCTTGGTCCCTCCACGTCCCTTCCAGCCGTTAAATAAACCCTAGGACAAATCGAATCAATAATTTGATTTGCAAATATCTAATACAAGATACCCCGCTCGCGGGACTTTTGATTCCCTTCGCCCCGTCCCCAGGCGCCAGCAGTGTGGGGCCGGGGGGAGGCAGCCCCGCTGC